TGTTCTGATAAGGATGGACCTCTGAGGACACTGTTCTGATAAGGATGTGATAATCAGCCAGTGTCCTCCGGTGAGATCCACAAACATTCTCGAGGGATGTCGGGGAATGACCAAGAATAAAGACTGAGAATCCAAGAGTCCTGAATTGATGACACAAAGTTTCTTCAGCTGGTTCATCTGGTTATCAGTTGGACATTCCTCAGGGAGGGGGTGGTGAGCGGTGGCTTGGTGTGGTAGTAGATGAGGATCATACCAACACATGTAAATGCTTTGCAAAGTGTCAGAGTCACAGCTGCCCCAACAGCTGTGACTCTGACGATCGGTGTTCCTTCAACAGTTTATTCATTCTTTGAGTTTTTGTCTCCAGCAGAGAAAAGACGATGGTTTTTGCTGGTTTTGTGTGAGTTGTTTAGGCTCATGATGTGTTCCTGTTTCCACAGACCGTGTCAGTCCTTGGGTTCCTGGGTCCTCTCACGCTAACTACCTCTCACCTGGACTTTTTCAGGTCTACAACTGGTCCAGTGCCTTCTGTGAAGCAGCTCATGGCTGGTCCGAGGCGATCCACGTCCTGGTTCCTTCGAGTCTTACAGCTAAGAAGATGAACGGAGCGTCAGCTTCTTGCCTCGTCTGTTTCGGCTGATGTCCTCAGGGTTGTTGTTTCGTTTTTGATTAAACTTTGGGCCGGCCTTGGTCCCCGCGTGCCGGTTCTCGTCACGTGCAGAAGTTGACCCCTCTGAACTGCAGCCGCGGTGGGGGGCTCGCTTGTCAGTGCAGCAGGGATGAGTGCTGTGGGAACTGGTCCATCCAGTTGGAGCTGACGTCACAGAACCTTTACTGAGGAGGAGGTCCGCAGCAGTCTCACTCGCTTTGTGACGCCACCCAGGACCTGAGACCACTGTGCCATGCCCACCAACCAGTTCTCCCCCTGGACTGGGGGAGAACTCGGGGCTTGTACCACTGCAGCCAGCCCCCCCGCTGCTGCTCCGGTCTCCGGTGTGCCCACCAAAATGCCTTACAGCCTGACCTCTGACCCCAAGAACAGTTCTGGAAGGAACCGTCGGGGTGACTCATCGAGCTGTTATGAAGACCTGCTGATCCAAGGACACGCCTCCGAACCGGTGAGCAGCTCCAGACCAGAACCATGCCCTGCTTCACAACAAGGCAGCAAAACGTTAGGAACATCTGCAGAAACAGATGTTTCCAGATGTGTTGCTGCAGGAACAGATGTTTGCAGACGCGTCGCTGCAGGAACAGATGTTTACAGATGTGTAGCTGCAGGAACAGATGTTTACAGACGCGTCGCTGCAGGAACAGATGTTTGCAGACGCGTCGCTGCAGGAACAGATGTTTGCAGACGCGTCGCTGCAGGAACAGATGTTTGCAGACGCGTAGCTGCAGGAACAGATGTTTACAGACGCGTCGCTGCAGGAACAGATGTTTGCAGACGCGTCGCTGCAGGAACAGATGTTTGCAGACGCGTCGCTCTAGGAACAGATGTTTGCAGACGCGTCGCTGCAGGAACAGATGTTTACAGATGTGTTGCTGCAGTCTCTTAGTTTAAACATTTGATGTGTGCCATGTTTTATAGTGAATAAATGGAGTTTTTAAGATTTTCAGATGGTTACACTTTACCGTCTTGGTGTCGGGCACAAAGAGCTAAACTTCAGCAGCTGTATAGAGAACAGGGATTGCGCGGTCTGCCCCTCCTAATGAAGCCTTTTCAGACGAGCTTCGTTTGTTGGAGGCTGATCTTCTCCACAGACTGTTTCCTCTTCACTCTCGTTGGAAGCAGACACTTGGGTGTGCAGGTTTACCTGATTTGACACAAGTCGTTCTTTCTGCTCCTCAACTTTGTTTTGTCTTTTCAGCTCGACACGGCTGACTGTTTCTCCTCACCGCCTCCTCTGTGCCTTCATCTTTGTACCAATCAGGGAGTGGTGCCGTTGAAGAATTCCTCCAGCTACAACACAAAACTAGAAGGAAGCACACAAAGACAAAGCAAAGCAGCTCGAAGGAGCTTCTCTGCTAAAGTAAAACTCTGTGGGACACAAAACGTCCAGGACACACAAGTGACTGCAGACAATGAGCTGCTTGTTGAAGGCGGCCCAGCAGCTGAAGCTACACACACCCAGCCCCATGTTGGGGCGTCGCTCCACGGCACCAGGCAGAACTCAGAAAGTCCCTGTCCACTGGGGACGAGCAGAGCACCCTGTCCTTCTTTGTCCAGCTCCACGCCGGCTGGAATGAGAACTGCTCAGCATCTGCAGTCCACAAGGCTGGATGTTGGAGAAGGTAATCGGTGTCTGTGTTCCTCTGTTAGCAAAATATCTCATGAGCCACAGAACAGGTTTTAATGAAACTGTGAAAGTAATCACTGGATGTTTGTTTATAACTGATTAAGTTTCTGAATGAACCTGATTGAAGCTCGATGATGCAGCTTATCGACCTGAGCAAAACTAAAGAGGCTCTAACTGAGTCAGACGTGCAAACATTGTCAGAGTCACAGATTCTTTATTGTTGTTCCACCACATGTGGTACATGTGGTGGAACAACAATATGTTCCCAGTTACATCCAACAATAAAATGTCAAATAAAAACAGTAATAACATCTGAGATATGAACTAAGAAAAATATCAACTAAAATACACTAAGCACTAACAGCATTAAAACATTGCGGTGAACAGCAGCACGAACATGAGTCTCTGTGAGCAGATGTGCACGCATGAACACATCAACATGAAACAGATCAGCAGCAACATGAAACAGATCAGCAGCAACATGATGTGATTTTTCACAGTAATTATTCTAGTTAGAGATTCATGAGTAACAGCCTCATGGTAGAAGCTGTTCCTCAGTCTACTGGTTCTACACTTAATGCTCCTCAACCTCCTTCCTGAGGGGAGCAGGGCAAAAAGTGTGTGTGCTGGGTGAGTGTGGTCCTTCATGATGCAGGTGGCCCTCTTCCTGCATCTGGAGGTGTAGATGTCTGTGATGGTGGGGAGACTGACTCCAACGTCTTCTGTGCAGCCTTCACCACTCTCTGCAAAGCTTTTCTTTCTGCAGCTGTGCAGCCTCCATGCCACACGTTGATGCTGGAGCACAGGATGCTCTCCACTGCACACCTGTAGAAGGAGGTGAGGACTGAGCTTCCAGACCAGCTCGTCTCAGCCGCCTGAGAAAGTAGAGTCTCTGATGAACTTTCTTCAACAGGCTGGTGGTGTTGTTGCTCCAGCTGAGGTTGTTGTTCAGGTGCACACCCAAGTACTTGTAGCTGGAGACCACTTCCAAGGTTGTTCTCTTTGCACCAGCTCTCCAGGTGTTCCACCTCTTGCCTGTAGCTGGACTCATCATTGTTTGTGATGCATCCCACCACCACTGTATCATCTGCAAACTTTACAATGTGACAGCCTGGATGGGTAGCTGCACAATCATACGTGAGCAGAGTGAACAGTAGGGGGCTCAACACACATCCCTGAGGAGAGCCAGTGCTGAGGGTTATGGTGGAGGAGAAGAAGTTGTGGATCCTCACAGACTGTGGTCTGTTTGTTAAGAAGTCTAGTACCCAGTTGCAAATGGAGGGCTTAGTCCTAGTGTGGATAGTTTGTCCATAAGAGTTTGGGGAATCATGGTGTTAAAGGCGGACATGACGTCCACAAAGCATATGGACGTAGTGGTCCTTCTGCTCCAGGTGGTTGAGAGCAGTGTGGACCACAGAGGAGATGGTGTCCTCTGCTGATTGGTTCTCACGGTATGCATACTGATGAGGGTCCACACTGATGTTGATGGTTGTTTTGATGTGAGTCATGACCAATTCTTCGAAGGATTTGGCAACTATTAGGGTGAGGGAGCATTTTGTGGTAGTAGCTGAGAATTCACCTTTGTCACCTACTCTGAGGGCTAACAGATCCATCAGGTCTGGGCTTTACATGTTTGTGTTTGAGGCTGCAGGTGGTGTTGTCCCACATTAACGATGTCACCAGAACCACCTTCCACCTTTTTCTCCATCAATGATCTAAAAACGATGCAGAAAAACTGGTCCATGCATTTGTCACATGTAGACTGGACTATTGCAATGGTTTATTATCTGGGTGTCCAAATACGTCTTTAAAACGTCCAGATGGACGCTCGTCCTGGGTCTGGTTCTGGAGGTTTCTTCCTGTTAAAGACAGTTTTTTCTTCCCACTGTCTCCTTTGTTCTTGCTCAGAATGAGAGACTGATGAAGTGAAGATTCAACTCAACCTGCTGCTTCCTCAGATACAGAACTTCACTGATTATTGTTCATTAAGTCTGTTTCTTTATGAACCAGGCTTGTTCCCGGTGAGAGTTGGACTCCGCCAAGGTTGCCCTTTGTCACCGATTCTGTTCATAACTTTTATGGACAGAATTTCTAGGCGCAGCCGAGGTGTTGAGGGGATCAGTTTTGGTGGCCTCAGGATCGCTTCTCTGCTTTTTGCAGATGATGTGGTCTTATTGGCTTCATCAGATCATGATCTACAGCTTTCCCTGGAGCGGTTCGCAGCCGAATGCGACGCAGCCGGGATGAAGATCAGTTCCTCCAAATCCGAGGCCATGGTCTTGAGCCGGAAAAGGGTAGAGTGCCCTCTCCGGGTCAGGGAGGAGGTCTTGCCCCAAGTGGAGGAGTTCAAGTATCTCGGGGTCTTGTTCACGAATGAGGGAAAAATGGAGCGTGAGATCGATAGGTGGATAGGTGCAGCATCAGCAGTGAAGCGGGCGCTGTACAGGTCTGTCGTGGTGAAGAGAGAGCTGAGTCAAAAGGTGAAGCTCTCAATTTACCGATCGATCTACGTTCCCACCCTCATCTATGGTCACGAGCTTTGGGTTGTGACCGAAAGATTGAGATCTGGGATACAAGCGGCCGAAATGAGTTTTCTCCGCAGGGTGTCTGGGCTCTCCCTTAGAGACAGGGTGAGAAGCTCGATCATCCGGGAGGGACTCAGAGTAGAGCCGCTGCTTCTCCACGTCGAGAGGAGCCAGTTGAGGTGGTTCGGGCATCTGTTTAGGATGCCTCCTGGACGCCTCCCTGGTGAGGTGTTCTGGACACGTCCCACTGGAAGGAGGCCCAGAGGAAGACCCAGGACACGCTGGAGAGACTATGTTTCTCTGGCTGGCCTGGGAACGCCTCGGGATTCCCCCGGAAGAGCTGGCCCAAGTGGCTGGGGAGAGGGAAGCCTGGGCCTCCCTACTTAGGCTGCTACCCCCACGACCCGACCCCGGATAAGCGGAAGAAAATGGATGGATGGAAGTCTGTTTCTGTTCCGTGTCCTGAGACGACCTGTTGGGACTTGGAGCTGCAGAAATTAACTGGATTAAATTGAATGTTTATTTGCTGTGGTCTGAAACTGGTCTGAGGCAGGTAGGGTGTGGATTTCCTGATGTTCTTGTTGTTTGAGTCACCAGCCCATCTCCCAACAATTCCAGCCCAGTGACACATGACCTTAAGAGTTTCTGCCAGACTCAGCATCTGGATCGCTCCATCCCTCCTGACTCTGCTCCTCTCTGACAGATGTGGCCTCGTGTCCTGCAAGAGCTCTGGTTGGTTCTGTCACCTCTCAGATCTCAACCATCCACCTCACTAAACAGGGACCATCCTCCTCTTCATCTTCCTCCCTGTCCTCCTCCACCTCACTGACAGAGGAGCATCTGGTTGGAGAGGCTCAGCAGTCAGGGTGAGTAGCAGATCTCCAGTCAGGCAGATGTTCCTCATTGTTTGCTTCTTCTGACTGTTTTGTTTGTTCCAGCTCTGAGTGTTTGATGCAGGTGGATGAAGTGGAGGATGAGCAGCAGGATGAGCAGCAGGAGGAGCAGGAGAACGCCGGCAGTGATGATGGTACGATCAAAATAGAATCATTCTTCTCACCCAGATTCACCTTCAAGACAACATGTAAACTTCAGGTTATTAAAGACGAGTGACACATCTGGTGGCCACTCACTCATTAGTTCATCACATTATTGAGATGCAGCCCTGAGGTCTGTTTGTCACATATCAACCGTTTAGCCTCTGTTACTACATCACCTCGGTCTTTGTCAAGTCCTGGACTGAGACATCTTGTGAAAGAGTTCCCCCCCAGCTGAGATGATGAACCTGACAGTTGGACTTCATGACTCATCCCTAAGCCCCCCTTCTTCAAACTGGGCCGTGGACTCAGATTCTCCTGCATTAACCTGAACTAAAGTTCAGTAAACTTCAGCTGATGGTAATCTATTAAGATGTTGTTTACATTAGTGGAAGAAAACAAACAAACAAACAAACAGTTCTAACACAGCAGGAAACCCACGACTTCATCTCAGGACAGATTCCAGTAAGTTTCCTCCAGTGGGTCGAGAATAGAGTTAGAAATGTTTCCTCCTCTCTTGCTGGTTGTGCTGATGATCATCTGGTTCAGGTCTGAGCTGAAGACCATGGTTCTGGTGTTTGGACACTGCCGAAGTTCACTGACTCCTCTGTCCATGTTGTTCTCCTCAGATGATTCAGACGCTTCGTCCACAGCATCCGCCCCGCTCCTCTGCAGGTAAAACACTCGGCATGTGCTTCTTGTTCCATGTAAAGGTAGCAACTCCTGCGCAGAACATCTGTGCAGAACATCTCACATCTGAGCTCACCACAAGCAGCAACGTGTCTGTTTTCAAGTTTGGAAGTGAAACGATGAAAGTTGAACACTTGGCCAACAACAACCAGCGTCTCCTTAGAGATGGGGTGAGGAGCTCAGTTCTCCAGGAGAGACTCTGCCGCTCCTCATCCAGAGCTGAGGAGGTTCAGGCATCTGGTCAGGATGAACCCTGGACACCTCCCTACAGAGGTGGTCTGAACATGTCCAACTAGGAGGAGACATGGGGGAAGACTCGGGACACTGGAGAGACTCTGTCCCTCAGCTGGTCTGGGAACAGCTTGGAGTTCTCCTGAAGAGGAGGCTGTGAACGGCTGTCTGGACCTGATCCAGCTGCTGCCCCGAGGCCTGAGTCTAGAACCAGAGGATCCATTCAACCTTTATTTAGACAGGTTAATGGATGGACACGTCTTTTCACCCAGTCTGTGACGACCTCCATGTTTGGACTTGACAAACAAACAGATTTAGTTTCTGAGCCTAAATGTCAAAAAGATAAAGTAAAGTTTTACAGATTGTGGCCCTGCAGGAGTTCTTTGTTGTTCTGCAGAAGCTTCAGGTCCTCCTCCCTGACCCGCAGGTTCTGACTGATGGACGGCCCCCGCCTGACGAGCAGCGTTCTGTGTGGTTCTGTGTGTGTGTGTGTGTATTGTGTGTGGAAGCAGCAGAGCGTGGTGGAAAGCTCTGCTTCATTGTGCGTTATTGTTGTTGTCAACATTAGAACCCCCCACCAACGACTGGAGCGGATACTCTGCTAAAACTGCCTGGATCGGACTATTGTGGGTCCGTTTGTTTAGGTTTGTATACACAGCCCCCCCCCCCCCCCCCCAACTCAAACCCCCACTCACCCTGACAAGTAGCTGAAGCTCTGTGGGGTCAGATACCTTGATGGATCCAGCTGTAAACTGAACCTGCTCGTGGTGGAACCTGGACTTGAGTTTTTCCTTCTCCCTTTATGCCTGTCATGTGAGTGTTTCTCGTGTGTTCGTTGTGTGTTATGGTGTTTAAGATGGCCCCTCCATCACTGAACATCTTGATGATGTATTTAAGATGGCCCCTCCATCACTGAACATCTTGATGATGAATTTAAGATGGCCCCTCCATCACTGAACTCCTCTCCAGCATCACGTTACAGACACGTCGTGTTACAAAGCGGAGCAGAACCTGATGCCAGAACCTGTTAGTAGAACATGAGTGGGGTAACCTGATGAGGTGGGTCTGTTTAATTACCGGCTGACCCGAGCCCTGCTGGGGACGGCTCCGGTCTGGATCTGTAGGATCTGATGAAGGATGTCAGGAGAGGGTGGGGTGAGATGTTCCCATGGTCAGATGTCTAATATTCAGTTTTAAAGAGCCAAACAGCTTCATAACGTCAAGTTAACCACAGCACGTGATGTTTGAGAAGAGACTCCATTTCATCTGGTTCTTATTAATGTTAACAGCTGTTTTTTAATATTTGGCTGTTTGTCTAATGTCTCGTTGTCCCCCATCGTGGAGGGGAGGGGGGAATTAAAAACACCATGGATGTTGTGACATGATGATTTGAAAAAACAAGTGAGGTACTGACTTCCATTTCGGTGTGTGGCTGCAGCCAGGCATAAGAAATGTTCCTTTAAAAAAAGAAGGTTGCCAAGTCAAGATCCAAGATGGCTGCCACCATATATGTCCGTGTGTCTTGTGAGCTGGATAAGTTGCAAACTAAGCAACTGAAGTTCGTTCTGTTGTGTGGCTGCATGTAGAAGGTCTATCAGACGTTGTGTGGCCATGTCAAACTACAAAATGACCACCAGCATATTTCTACAGTAATAAGTGTTGTGTGATGTCATCATGTGTGATGTCATCACTGTATGTTCCCACACAATGATGACATCAGCTCTCTGCATTGAACCATCACACCTGGGATACACCCAGGTGGAGCTGTGGGCAGGTGTGTAAGCGCCCGGGGAGCAGTTGGGGGTTCGGTGTCCTGCTCAGAGACCTGGACATGCACTAAACTGTTGTTTAACTGTGAGAAGGTTAAAGTTCACCGAGGTTTTATCCCTGTGGGTGTGTGTCGAGTCACTGCAGTGCTCGTGTTTAATCTGAGATTGCATTGTTTTTGTTTTAATCTCGTCTTGATTTGATGAAATGATTCAAATGTAACTTGATGTGAAATGTTTCCTTCAGTGTTAAGGAACCGATGATCCTGGAGGCCCACGATGATCGAGAAGAGCGACCGGCGCTCATTCCCAGTTTGTTCCCGCTCACTCCTCCGACGCTCTACTTCAGCACAGCCCATGAGAAAGGTCAGTGCCTGAACGTGTGTTCAAATAAAGCAGAACGTCAAACCATCTACAAGGTGGGCCCAACTCCATGGCCCTTAGATAAAAACATACCTGTTAATAATCCAAGGGTGGTTCAGATGTCTCCAAGGTCCACCCTGAGCAATCGCCTGACCAGCTCTGAGCCACCTCAGTGTGTTTCGTCTTCAGTTGGACCGCTTCAGGAGGTTGTCTGACCCCTTTTGTCTGCATAGTGTGCCCACGGTCCATCCAGAGCCCCCCGCCGAACTGAAGGGACCTGGACGCCTTTAAAAAGTGCTGCGGGCTGATGCAGGCTGGATGTTCTGCTTGTTTTCAGCTGCTTGGACTCTGTGTTGTCAGGTGTCAGTCACAGAGCATCAGTCCGAGCAGCGTTCTGTCACTTTATATTCATCTAATTAAGCAGCTGTGATGGTGTCTGATCAGGTTACAGGTTCAACTCCTGCGTGTTTCCTCTAAAACCGAGCTCTCTGAAGTCACCTGCTGTCCTGCTTCTTGCTCCCTGACAGTCTGTGTGTAGCTGCACGTTTAAACCTTAAACGTTTAATATAGAGCTCGACCAATATGTCAGCAGGGCCGATACTTTTAGGTCCATATAGACGTTTGGGAACATATCGTGTCGGTGATGACCGTCCCTTTATGTCCCACATGCTGTAGAGTATTTGACTGAACAGAGCCTGGTGAGTTCATTTGAACTGATCTGTAAATAAATCAACAATAAATTCTCTTCAATGCTCCAACCTGCTTGTCTTTAACTACGTGCCTCTCAGGTTAGCAAGCTAACGTTTAGATAATAACAACAGCAACAGCAACAACAATAATAATAATGATGTGTATGTATTGTCATCACTGTATGTTTCCATACAATGTTGAAATTGTCTCTGCATTGAACCCATCCACCACCTAGATAACCTAGCATAGCATAGACTATTGTCTTGTAAAACTGTATCCAGATCAGTAAATCTAACGTAGACATAAAATATATCAGTTAATAACTTTATCTTTGTCGTCCTCAATGAAATGTTTGTCTGAAATCTTTACTTAAAGAAAACTCAAGTCTGCTGCGGTCGACACTCATCAGACCTTCACCACACGTGACTGTTTAACAGTGAACAGGAAGAACGTTTAATGTTAAATGTATATTTTGTAACACTTGATAACTTTATGGAGAATAGTGGAGGACAGAAAATGTGAACGCATGTTGGGAAGTGTGTTTGAAGACTTGAAGAGTGAAGACAGGTTTCAAAGAAGCTGTTCAGATTGTTGGGGGTGGACATCGTCGTTTATTGGCATTAGTCCAGTATCTGTATGGATCGTAGCCCACTGTCCGTATGGGTCGGGCTCCAGTCACAACTCTCCTGATCTCTTCCAGTTCAAGTGCCAGATGTGAGCAGAACGTTCGAGACTTTGTAATGTTGATGTTCTCTGAGGAACGAGCGTGTTTCTTCTGCAGTGGAGCTGCTTCCTGCTGAAGAGGGACGGCTGCTGAAGTGGAAGATGAGCTCCGTCACGCCCAACATCGTCAAGCACGCCATCGACCGCTCTCACTTCAAAGTCACCAAGAGTGAGTGTCGCACTTTGTCACCTGAGCCAGTTTCACACAGGAAGTAGGAAGCGCTGCAGCTCCTGTTGGCGTGCCGCTGGCTGCAAGTCCAGTCTGGTGCAGTGGAGCCGTTCAGAACCACCTGGAACTACGAAAGGCTGCTTTCTGCAGTGCACATTCATACCACCACTACATGGGGGGTTGTGTAGTCTTTTCATCATCTCAGCCTTTTGGTCAAGGTCACAGATCAAGGCCAAATGTTTCAAACAAGGTTTTTCTTGTCCAGACCATAACTTGTGATCCGCTCAAGATAAGTTCATGAAAGTTGATGCACAGGTGTATCATCATTAGACGAGGGGTCGCGTACCTTTCTCCTCACCCCCGGCACAAGGTCAAGGTCACAAAGCAAGGTCATATTTCAAATAAGGTCTTTGACCTTCCATGTGACATCTTCAGATCCAAGATATTTCGTAACCTGAACTGCTTCACGGTCAGGGTCCGATTGTTTTTGGTTTTCAGATCATAAATTCTGTATGTTCAGATTTTTTCACTAATCTTCAAAAACGAGTTCTGTCAATCGTTTATTGACTCATATTTTCCCGTTTTAATCGACTAAAAGTAACTGTTCTGACTGACGCCGGCGCGTCACCTGGTTGATTTCAGTTGCTCTAACGGGGAGCGCAGCCTTTCAGACTCTTTTTTAAGTAAACTCAGCGTTATGATCAATAATCCACATCTTTTCATCATTTTCATCACATCGTTTCCTGAAGTGTTTAATGTTTGTCTCATTGACTGATTCCTGCTCCTGCTTGATGCAGAAAGCCACGACTGGTTGGGCTGCTGGGGACACCACATGAGGTCCCCTGGGTTCAAAGCGCTCGGAAAGCACCAGAAGGTGAGAACCTGGAACTGATCCCAGTTAGTGCTCCCACAAAGTCCACCATTAATGTAGCCTTTCTTGTTTTGTAGTTGAACCATTTCCCAGGAACGTTTCAGATCGGCAGGAAGGACCGTCTGTGGAGGAATCTGTCCAAGATGCAGCTTCAGTTTGGCAAACAAGAGTTCAACTTTATACCTCGAACCTTCATCCTACCTCAGGACATCAAGCTGCTGCGCAGAACCTGGGAGGACAGAGGCTCCAAGCAGAAGTGGATCGTCAAACCTGTAGGTTCTGTTGTCTCCCAATATCACACAATCAATCAACCTTTATTTCTACAGGTAAACCCCATTGAGCCTCGAGGACTCATTTACAAGAGAGACCTGATTTCAACAAAGAAAGATGACAACAATGGACAACAGCAACAACAATAAGCAGTTATAAAAACTCATACTACAGTTTTTTTTTGTTTTTTTTTAACAAATAGGATGGCTAAAAGGAAAAAGGTAACAAAACAAAAAAACAGCTAGATTCCAAGACAAATGTATAAAACTAAAAACAGGAACATGTCTGCATTGGTCCCTGCCAGGAGTCCAACAGAAAAGACCAGCTTTACCAGCAGGCAGCATGAGACCGCTGATCCTGGGCTTTAAACGTTTGTCTGATCTTCACAAAGTAGTTTTATGAAGAACTTCTGAGATGTTGGTGTCACCTGCAGAGACCAACACTCCGTTTGGAGGATCAGGGAGGAACTCTAAAGACAAGAGTAGTCACACGAGCAAGACCCACAAATACATCAAGTTTTTCAAATGTACACACTTTTAAAAAGTTACCAGCAGGAATAGTCTGTGCTACACATTGTCAAACACGTGCACAAATCAGCTACTGCGCACGGATCTGCTGCCTGTGAATGTGACTTTTGAGCTACTGTGTCAAGTTAGAAATGTAAATCTGGTAAATTCAAAAAGTTCAAGACAAGAAACAACCAGATTTTATTTTGTAACTGAAGACGTTTGTCTTGTCATCCGAGGAGCTTGTGTGGGTTTGAGTCAGACTAACGACGACTCTAACGATGACTTTTAACAACAATGACTCTAACAACGATTCTAACAACGACTCTAACAACGATTCTAACAACGACCTTTAACAACAACGATTCTAACAACAACGACTCTTAACGACTCCAACGATGATTCTAACAACGACTTTTAACAACAACGACTTTTAACAACAACGACTCTAACGACGACTCTAACGATGACTTTAAACAACAATGACTCTAACAACGATTCTAACAAGGACTCTAACAACGACTTTTAACAACAACGACTTTTAACAACGACTCTAACAACGATTCTAACGACTCTAAACAACGACTCTTAACAACAACGATTCTAATAACAACGACTCTAACAACCCCCTGCTGTGAGGAGTGAGAGGGCCATCTGCATGTAGCTCAGCTTTATAACTGGAACCACACTCTGCTGTTTGAATTGAGGAAGCTCCTCAGATGAGAAGTGAAACGTCTTCAGTTATAAATAAAGTCCAGATGTTTTGTCTGCAGCGTTTTGTATTTACCATCATTCCACTTTATTTCTACAGTTGGTCTCATTGAGTCTCGAGGACTCGTTAACAACAGAGACCTGATTAAACACGTCCTGTATGATTGAGAAGTTTCACCAGCATAAAGACGTCCCAGCTTTTTTCGAGCCTTGAACGCACCATCACTTTGTTAATCTGGACCATTAAAAGTCACAGGCAGCTGATCCGTGCACAGCAGCTGATTTGTGCACGTGTTTGACAATGTGTAACAAAGAATGTTCCTGCTGGAGCATTTTGAAATGCATACATTTGAAAAGCTGTTGATGTGTTTGTTTATGTATGTAAATGTGTGTGTTTGAGTCTTGCGTGACTACTTCTGAGACTGATTTATCTCTAGAGTTCTGATGGAGTCCATGTAGCTGCTTCTCAAAGAGCTGACCTGCTGTTGCTCCATCACTGATGTCTCCGTTTCAGACTGTACTTCTGAATTATGTTCACCTTCCTGCACGACGTGTTTGTTTTGTCCACCAGCCCGCCTCAGCCAGAGGGACGGGGATCCAAGTGATCCACAAGTGGAGCCAGATGCCACGGAAAAGGCCTCTGCTGGTCCAAAAGTAAGCCCGACCAGAGCCTGATGGGTTTCCTCTGTTTCTGCTCTGAAACGTGTCGTTTGTTGCAGGTACCTTCACAAGCCTTACCTCATCGGTGGGAACAAGTTTGACCTGAGGATCTACGTCTACGTGACCTCATACGACCCGCTCAGGGTCTACATGTTCTCTGACGGACTGGTCCGCTTCGCCAGCTGCAAGTGAGACTCCAGCACGCTCCGCAGCCTTTTATTGTGAAATGACAACAATGCAGACAGATGCCTCTGTGACTTTCAGATACTCGTCCTCCATGAAGACTCTGAGTAACAAGTTCATGCATCTGACCAACTACAGCGTGAACAAGAAGAACTCCGAGTATCAGACGAACAGCGACGACAAGGCCTGCCAAGGACACAAATGGTAAATGCTTTGGAGGGTGTGGTCTAAGAGTTCTGGTCACCAAACGTTGTTAAACATGAAACTCGTGTGATTTCAGGGCTTTGAAGGCGCTGTGGCAGCATCTCGGGTCCAAAGGCATCAACACGACCCAGATATGGGACAAGATTAAAGACATTGTGATCAAAACTGTTATAGCGTAAGTACCAGGAGACGGTGAGCTCCAGGACCGTTTGGACTCTGCTCCCTTTGATTATTCATTTAGATAGAGACATAGATACATAATCAATCAATCAATCAATCAAATCAATTCATCCATCAGAAAAAATTCATGAAATGATGTAAAAAGCAGAATACACAGATTTGAAACAAACACAATATGCACAAGGTGGTAGAGAGTACTACATTAATTATTAACTTCTATCTATCTGTCTATCTTCATCTCTTTATCCATCTCTCTACCTATCTACAGGTCCTTCTCAAAAAATGAGCATATTGTGATGGTCATTATTTTCCATAATGTAATGATAAAAATGAAACTTTCATATATTTCAGATTCATTGCACACCAACTGAAATATTTCAGGTCTTTAATTGTTTTAATACTGATGATTATGGCATACAGCTCATGAAAACCCAAAATGCCTGTCCCAAAAAATTAGCATATTTCATCCCACCAATGAAAGACAAGTGTTTTTAATACAAAAAACACCAACCTTCAAATAATCATGGTCAGTTATGCACTCAATACTTGGTCGGGAATCCTTTTGCATGAATGACTGCTTCAATGCGGCGTGGCATGGAGGCAATCAGCCTGTGGCACTGCTGAGGTGTTATGGAGGCCCAGGATGCTTCGACAATATGCTAATTTTTTGAGAAGGACCTGTTTATCCAGCTCTCTAGTGGAGACCTCTAGAAACATCTAGTTTCTGTAATATGGATTTGTTGCGGAATTCACAGAATTAAAAATCTTCTGCAGAAACGGCATGAGTGACAGGTTGACACAGCAGGTGAGGGCCAACGTGGACACGTGCTGTCAGAACGGTGCTGATTATACAACACAACTGCTTGCCATACACCTGCTGACCCTTCCACAGTTCTTGATGTGCTGCTCAGAGTCAACAGTATTTTGTGCTCTAAATAGTTTTTGTTTCATCTGATCAGAGTTCATGTCTAACTGCTGCGACGTTACAGCGTCAGATGTTAATAAAACATTTATAAAGATGTTTGTATCTAAAACCAATCAACCAAATCAATAATGTGGATCACAGATGGCCATGAGACCTTAGGAGTCTGTGGGAGGGGATGTTTGGGAACACCGGCTGGGGTTTGAACCTCCGACCTGAGCTGTAGAGGTCCATAAAGGCTCCTTGCTTACTTCATCAGTATCAGGCAGGAGTATCGTGGTGTAGTCTTGATGTAATTTACTGAAACTTCTTGTACATCCTCGCTGGACGGTGTCGTGTACACCTTTGTCACCCCAGATCCAAGGTCAAGGTCACACATCAAGGTCAAATGAAAACTAGATCTGCTTGTTCAGGTCTGATCATGTGCCGTATGTCCAAGTCGTAGCTTCCTGTTCCTAAGCAGAACTTCCTGAATCTGCAGGTGGAGCAGGAATGAAAACTTAATGAAGAAGGAGGAGGGGTGACAGAGGTCATGAATGAAGGTCATGAATGAAGGTCAATTCAATTCAGTTTATTTATAAAGCGCCAAATCACAACAAAGTTGTCTCAGAACACTTTACAGGAACATTCACATAAAAGCCAATTAGTAAAGTTCTCTATCTGAGGAATCCAGCAGACAAGATGAATCTTAGGTCATGAATGAAGGTCATGAATGAAGGTCATGAATGAAGGTCCTGTTTGGTCTTCAGGTCTGAGCCGTACGTCAACAACCTGCTGAAGATGCACGTCAAGACCTCCTACAGCTGCCACGAGCTCTTTGGCTTTGACATCATGCTAGATGAGAACCTGAAGCCCTGGATCCTGGAGGTCAACATATCACCCAGGTGACACGCACACACACACACACACACACGTGTGTTGTAGCACATCTAACGGTGGTGTCTTTCCTCCAGCCTCCATTCTAACTCTGCGCTGGACGTCTCCATCAAAGGTCAGATGATCAGAGATCTGCTGAACCTGGCTGGCTTCAGGATTCCCACCAGAGAGGAGACCTCCTTCTGCAGCAGCTCCTCCAGCTCCACCAGCAGGTAAGGAGGCACCGCATCTCCTCTGCTTGCATCCTGAGGGAGCAGTGAGGTCTGATGGTGAAGGCTGTGTTCCCTGCTGGAGCAGCAGGAACCTGTCAGGTGACCGCCACGCACCGGCCCGTCCACACCAACAGAAGTGTAGGCGGCGCCGGTCCAGTCAGCTCGTGTGGACATGAAGTGGAGAGGTTGAAGGAACACTGACTGTGAGCAGTTAGGAGGTATCTGAGAAATGTTCTTCATGTACCAACTCATGGAAAGACTCGAAACAGAGTCAGAGTACAAATCTATTTATAGAAGCAAAGGTTCATATAGACCCAAGTGTTTCCAGTAAGGACTGGGGAAAAGTTTCATTCCCAGTAAGTGGAGCCCCAACACACTGTTTCTGACACAATGAGCCCAGACTGGAATCCAACTTCATTTATAAAGAACTTTAAAAACCATACAGGTTAAAAAGCACCAAAGGAATAAAATACAAACCCAGTCAGATTAAAAGACACAGTGAGTGAAGATTACCATGAACTCTGGATTACAGAGCACAGCTGAGCCACGTGCACTAAATGAAAGACGACGTTGTCCTTAAATCAGCCGCAGGTTTGAAGCTCATGAAGAAACGCGTGAAGGACGTCCGTGCTGCCAGATGCTTCGATATCGCTCAGAGCAAACCCAATCATTCAGCTTTCTGTACTGGTTCTGGGTCTGGTCCTGGCTCTTCTTGCTGCACTTGTGCAGGCCTGGACTCTTGTGTTGTTCTTCTCCAGGTGAAGTTCTGGACAGGTTCTGTGTTTGTGTGCAGTTTGTGTGGAGGCACCAGAGAGTGGACCGGAGCTGAAGTGTGCGTTGATGAGCAGAGGAAGCGGTCCTTCTTCATGTCTCAGCGTTTCACTGACCAGGTAACACTCATGATCCTGACACTTTGCTTCTTCTCTGACAACTCTCAGGACCAAGTCTCTTGTCTTTGTCAGGACGTGCTGTCCTCGGTGTTGGACGTCCTGACTCCAGAGGACGTCCGCACGCTGGCAGAGACGGAGGACGAGCTGAGCCGTCGAGGAGAGTTCGAGCGCGTCTTCCCTTCGCCGTCGTCGTCGCGCTACCTCCGCTTCTTCCGGTGTCTGAGATACAACAACATCCTGCTGGATCAGTGGGAGCAGAGGTTCTGGAAGGACCGCTCCGCAGGTACGACCCGACCCGATGCTTCTGACTCCATCACGCTGTCGGACTCTGAGCAGACCTCAGCTTCACAGCAAAAAACTAATTCAGGTCTTTATTTACCAACAATTATTATAAATAATAATATATTATTATTATTTATAATAATATATTAGTATAATTAACTAATAATATATTATTATTATATTATTATTATATTATGTTATATATATATATATATATATATTATACATTTTCATTCTGAGATTTTGCTTTTGGAAGCTTTAATTCCTCTTTTTCTTGATGTAAAACACATTTTACTGTGCAGCTGAAAAGATTTTTACTGAAACTTTTTTAGTTTTGGACATTTGTTATGATGCGTAACCATGGCAACAAGGCAGTTTTCTACAACAACAGCAGCTGATTAACATCTCAAAAGCTCAAATAATATCTCAACTACAGCCCCAAATCTCAAATGAGTTGAAAAGGATGTTCTGTGGATGCATTCTCATCTACCTGCCAGCTGTGCTCGAGTGCCTGACCACTGAGATCCTGGAACTAGCAGGAAACACGGCTCATGACAGCAGGAGGACAGGATCGTCCCTCGGCACCTACAGTTGGCTGTCCGCAGTGACGAGGTGCTCGGCAGACTGCTGGGAGGAGTGGTTATCGCTCTGGGAGGAGTTCTGCCCGGCATTCTGGTGGTCCTACAGTCCAGAGGAACCGAGAGGCCAGCTGAGTCTGGGTGGACGGATCAGACGGCATCTGCAGCCAGTTTCTTAGGATCCACTGTGGGATGGACCTTTACAAGAGATCCTTCCTGTCTACAGCATCAGCATCTATAACATCTCTTAATGAAATGAGGATAACGAGTTACAACAACAAATAATTTCCCTCTGGGATTAATAAAGTATTTTTGAATTGAATTGAATTATTATTAATATTATATATTATTATTATATTAATAATAATTTATTATTATATTATTATTAATATAATATATTAATGATAATATATTATTATTGTCATTATCTAATAATATATTATAATTATATTATTATTAATATAATAATATATTATTAATGTAATATATTACATTAATAATAATAATAATAGTATTGCCTAATACAGGTTATTTTACGTGTATTGCAGTATTACACTGAGTAAAATATTTATAATTTGAGTTTGAATGCTGATATAAGAAGGAGGTGGTCATGTTGTTTCAAGTCTGTCCTGATCTCTAAAGTGGAGACCTGAAGACGCGTCCTGACCCTCTGGGACTTCCCAGTCCGTCTTTGTGAGACATTTGTCTTCTTTGCAGCTATCCACATTTTGAGGAGCCACTGTGAAAAAGGCGTCCATCTTGGAACCAATGACCCGGCCCACAAGGTGAGAACCTGGAACTCTTTGTACAAGTCAGACTGATTGTTACTCTGAACAGGTGTTTTATTTAAAGGGATATTCCAGCCATTTAAAAGTGGTGCTCTCAGGAAGCTTTTCAACAATTTAAGTTTGGAAAATTAGAGCTTAAACAAATCAGCTGGGCTCCTCGGTGAGTCGCTACCTTATCGTGACTGAGGAGTCTGCTCCTGATTGATCCTAGGAGCTGAGCTGTTGGGGGCCACTGCCCCTGGTAGGGTCTGTCAGGAGAAAAAGAGATCCTCAAAACGATCAGACGTAGACTTCTTCATATTTATTACAAAGCTTTGAAGAACACTCGCAGATCTATGCCTTCACCTGTCTGAGTTCTGACCCGTCCTGGACTCCTGTAGTAAGCTGTTAGTTTATTTATTCATTCAAACTTTATTTAAACAGATAAATCACTTACCTCTTCAGAGTCAAAGTTTTTTTTATTTGTCACTCGCACCACATGTGGTACATGAGATGGAACAAAATTATGTACACAGGGTCCCAGTTACAGCCAAAAATAAAATGTTAAAGAAAAACAGTAATAACATCTAAGATATGAACTAAGAAAAACGTCAACTAAAAATACACTAAGCACAAATAGTATAAAAACAATACGTCAAACAGCAGCACAAACATGAGTCTGTGTGAGCAGATGAGCACGAATGAACACAACAACATGAAACAGATCAGCAGCAACATGAAACAGATCAGCAGCAACATGATGCGATTTTTCACAGTGATTATTCTGGTTAGAGATTAATGAGTCTAACAGCCTCAGGGTAGAAGCTGTTCCTCAGTCTAGTGGTTCTACACTTAATGCTCCTCAACCTCCTTCCTGAGGAGAGCGGGGCAAAAAGTGTGTGTGCGGGGTGAGTGTGGTCCTTCATGATGCAGGTGGCCCTCTTCCTGTATCTGGAGGTGTAGATACCATATCATACCATACCACTTTATTTATAAAGCACTTAAAACAGCGACAAGGCCAACCAAAGTGCTGTACAGACAGAACAACAGGTAACACACAAAGCAAAATACAAAATGAGGTAAATCAGAATATAGACATAAAAATAATGCAGATAATGACGACAAACCAGTGTGGAGCACACAGGATCAAAACACAGATCATCTGGTGTTGAAAGCTACTGAAAAGTAGTGAGTTTTTAAACGGGACTTGAAAACCGAGAGGGAGGGGCCTGTCTGACAAGCAGAGGTAACTCGTTCCAAAGTCTTGGTCCTGCTACAGAGAAGGCCCTGTCACCTCTGCGCTTAAGACGAGTTCCTGGAACTGTGAGGAGCAACTGGTCCGCTGACCTCAGGGAGCGTGGTGGGACATACGGTTGTAGCAGATCAGAGAGATATGGGGGGGGGGGGGGGGGGGGGGCGACACTGTTCAGTGATTTGTAGACATACATGAGTATTTTGAACTGGATTCGAAGGTGAACTGGTAACCAGTGCAGTGAGGCCAAAACTGGTGTAATGTGCTCTCTTTTGCCTGTACTGGTTAAAAATGGGGCTGCTGCATTCTGGACCAGTTGTAGTCGTGCAATGGAGGTCTGACTGATACCAAACAGGAGTGAATTGCAGTAATCAAGCCTAGATGTAATGAATGCATGTATTACTGTCTCCAGGTTATTTTTGGACAATATGGGCTTCAGTTTAGACAGCCGCCTCAGTTGGAAGAAGCATGATTTAACAATCATGTTTACATGACTGTTAAGTTTCAGGGAAGGGTCCATTATCACTCCCAGATTAGTGACTCTTTGTTTTTCTGACAGGGTTGGAGCGGAGAGGTCGATACAGTGGTTTGTGATCGTGTCGTTGGGAGGGAACAACATGACTTCAGACTTCTTTTCATTGAAACTTAAGAAGTTTAAAGCCATCCAGTCCCTGATGTCAGCCAGGCAGTTGAGCAGCGGTTGAATAGAGCATGTACCATTGTGTCTTAGGGGGAAGTAAATTTGACAGTCATCGGCATAGAAGTGGAAGGGCATGTTGTGTTTCCGGAAAATAGCACCAAGCGGCAGCAGGTATAAAGAGAATAGGAGAGGGCCCAGGATGGACCCCTGCGGAACTCCCCATTTAAGCTCTGTCACTGCAGAACTAAAATCCTTGATGGAGACACAAAAGGATCTGTCAGCGAGGTAGGATCTGAACCAATTGAGGGCTGACCCTGTGATGCCCACCCACTGCTCCAACCTAGCAATGAGGATCTCATGGTCGATGGTGTCAAAGGCGGCTGTGAGGTCCAACAGGACAAGCAGCACAGAATCACCGGTATCTGTGAATCTGAAGATGTCGTTAAAGACCTTCAGCAGGGCAGTTTCAGTGCTGTGGAGAGGTTTAAAGCCAGATTGGAAAAGCTCTAAGATGGCGTGATCCTCCAGGAAGCACTTCAACTGGGACTCGACTATTTTCTCCAGTACTTTAGAAACAAATGGGAGTTTGGAGACAGGCCGGAAGTTGGAAACGACTGAGGGGTCAAGGTTTGGTTTTTTAGGAGAGGCTGGACAGCAGCATGTTTAAAGGATTTTGGCACCACACCAGTGGATAAACTACTGTTTACTATATCAAGAATGGACGGACCTAGAGTTGGAAACACCTCCTTTAGTAGTCGAGGGGGGACCACATCAAAGGGGGAACCAGAAGGTTTCAAGTTGCACATGACCTGCTCTAGAGAAGATAGAGTGATGGGTTCAAAATGGTCAAAAGGAGCTACAGATTGAGGTGGGATGGATGGGTCATGAGTTGGAGGGGAAATGAGAGCCCTGGTGGTCGCAATTTTTTCCACAAAGAAATGTAAGAAGTTGTCGCACAGCTCAGTCGAGGCTTCCAGAGGTGGTGGTTCAGTGAGGTGGAGAACAGAGTTTAGGGTGGAGAAGAGGACACGTGGGTTGTGAGAGTTTGAGGTAATTATATCAGAGAAGTATTTGGATTTAGCAGCTTTCACTGTTTTCTGATAACAGCGCCAACTCTCTTTAAGTATCTGGAAAGAGACCTGCAGCCTGTCTTTCCTCCACTTTCGCTCCGCCCTCCTACATTGCTGCCTAACGGCCTTGGTGACGTCACTCAGCCAAGGTTCTGCTCTGAGTTTTGATTTTCTAGTTTTAACAGGCGCAACATGATCCAGAGTCTTTAAGCAGACAGAGTTGAACTGGGATGTCAGCTCCTCCGTGGTGGTGAGAAACACTGGGAGCTGAATGATCATTTCAGAGTTATAAACATCTGTGAAGCGTGCGGCAGTGAAGTGGTTAATGGTCCGAGTGCTACGTGTAGAAATGCACGACTTAGGAGTTAGATGGGGGAGGGTGAACTCAAACTGGACTGGCATGTGGTCTGAAAAAACATTATCGCCAATAACAAGATTATTAACAGTCATATCATGAGTTAAAACAAGGTCCAGTGTATGTCCGCGCTCTTGGGTGGGACCGTTTACATGCTGAGTTAGATTAAATGAGTCCAATAAATCTAAAAAGTCCTTAACCAAGGGCTTCTCAGGACAGCACACGTGCAAATTAAAGTCCCCAATAATGAAAACATGCTCATATTTTGGTGTGATTTCAGCCAAGAAGTCAGAAAACTCATCTATGAAATCCTTAGACCGAGGTGGGCGGTAGACGAGTGCAAATAAAGTCGCAGGTGAATGTCCGAGTTCAAAGACGCTCAGCTCAAAGCTAGACGTACGCTGATAATGGTCTAAATAAGCGACATCAGTGACAGAAAAACGAAGATCCAGAAGCTGTTGTCGGTCATACATGAGGAGAGAATTTATGCCACAGATAAAAACAAACAAAACAGAAATAATCCGAACACCATCAGCAGAGGTGGATTGCAAGCCATGCACACGGGCGCCATCTTACCGGAAGTCCCTGATAGTAGACAGTAGATGTCTGTGATGGTGGGGAGACTGACTCCAACATCTTCTGTGCAGCCTTCACCACTCTCTGCAAAGCTTTTCTTTCTGCAGCTGTGCAGCCTCCATGCCACACGTTGATGCTGGAGCACAGGATGCTCTCCACTGCACACCTGTAGAAGGAGGTGAGGACTGAGCTTCCAGACCAGCTCGTCTCAGCCGTCTGAGGAAGTAGAGTCTCTGATGAGCTTTCTTCATCAGGCTGGTGGTGTTGTTGCTCCAGCTGAGGTTGTTGTTCAGGTGCACACCCAAGTACTTGTAGCTGGAGACCACTTCCACCGCAGATCCTCATATGCTCTTGGCAACAAAACAAAAAAAAGAAGGTGGTACATAAACCAGACCAGGGATGAAGAAGGGCAATTTAATACAATGGTGAAGGACATGAAGACGATGGACAGCGAGAAACATCTAGAATATTTTCAAATAGTTTCTAGCAAGTTTGATGAGCTAGTTGGACATTTAGCCCCGTTTCTTCACCACCAGGGCGGCCTCTGTACACCTGTCAGCGCTGCACAGAGAGTGGTTGGTGTTGCAAACAAAACAGTCCGTCACCAGGCAGTTTATTTTGCGACACCGAGTACGCGGTCATAAAAATTGGTCTTTGTGCGGACACGACCAGCGGATGTCCACTTCGAGTCCGCATTGAGTCTGCCTCAAGTACTCACGGACCTACGTGGATTAAATAACGCCCAAGTATGTGGGGGCGTTCAGATAAACGCCAATATTCACAGGTTGCTGTCCAGGATTTAGCATGGATGCTAACTTAACACTGAAAACACCAAATGGAAGCTAACGTGATTAGCATTATGTTTTATCACTGAACATTTATACACAAGTCCAAGTCTCAGTTATGTTATCAACTCCAACTATTCTAGACATAACGCTTCACAAGTTCAGCAAAGAAAATGAGAACACACAGCTTTACTACTGGAAACTACAGAAACTCTGCAGGGACCAACAGCAGCTACTCTGCAGCAGCACAGATCAACAAAATCTGTTTCAAGTTCAAGGTTCTTTATTGTCTTTATTGAGGTGTAACAAAATTGTGTACTCAGTGTCCCAGTTTGTTTCATTCATTTACAAGAGAGACCTGTTACACACAGACACACAAAGTAGATTAGGAAAAGAGAACACAAGAGGGTGGAGGAGGTAAAAAAAAAAAAAAAAAATCACACCATGTCCTGGCTGGGGCACAGTGTGAAAGTTGCAAAAAAAGACCTTGCAACATAAACAGCAACATACAATGACATCATAATACATTTACGCATGAGGAGGTCAACAAAGGCGGTGAGTTGTCCGTGGACACTGCCAGGAAGTTCCATGGTTCTGATAAGATGGTACAGTGTCTATCAGCGGTTCAGTTCTGATAAGGCCACAGATGTCCTCAGGGTGGGGGGGTAGGAGGAGGGGAGGAGCATCATTATTCATCATTATTCCTATAACGTCTGGGAGAAATTGGAGATAGCTGGCTTATTCAAGGTGAAGCACCAAGCGGGGAAGCCAGATTTGACAACTGTTTTGGGACAGGCAGACTCTGCTTTCAAAAGTTCTGCTGGTACTTCTCAACGGTGAATCCAAACAGCCAAATTTTATGGTCATTCCGCCGGGCCGTACTTGTAGCCTCCCCTTAGGTTGAATCCTTCACGCCAGCAAGTTCCAGAAGCTGCAAGTGGCCTGCGATTCTCAGAAATGGCGTCCAGCTTATAGCTTAGCTCACAAGCATCGGAGTCTGGGCGCTCGAAGCACGGCACGGCACATTCCTTCACACATGGCAGGCTGCCTCTCAATTGACAGATCCGCTGCCAACGTCTTCTGAATTTGTTGATAAGCCAGAAACCTGCCGATTCCAAAAAGCAGAAATCCCTCTATCATAAATCCAATTATGTACGCATCTTCTACATCCTCAACAGACAATACGGATGGTCACACCATCTTCCACTGGCCCCAGGAATCCATGGTGTATCCCGAAGTGAACGTCCCTTCAGGGCAGGAGGGCTCACCTTCACCCTGTCTTCTCGTCAAGAAAATTTTACCAGTTGTGTTGAGAGACCAGCTGATCAGATCCATGATTTACCGATCAGAAGATGTGTAGAGAGAGGCTCTGAAAAAGATTCACAGGACGAGAGCAAAAAGCAGGAGGGAGGCAGGAGCGGGTGAAGCGACCGTCTTCGTCGAGAGCGAGCAGGAAGTTACATCCAACAACAGGACAACAATTGTGACGTTCAAGAGTTGATTCAGAACGTTTTCCCACCTGACTGATTTAAACCACGTTACTGACATGTCAGCTTTGGTCATATGCAAAATCAACACAAGGTCAACAATGAAATGATGAGGACGAGAAGAACCGTCTCAACTTGCCAAAACAACAACAACAACAACAAGAAATAAACATGGAGCAAAAATACTAAAAACATATTAAAAATACTACTAAAATACTAAAAACATACTCAAAATACTACTAAAATACTAAAAACATACTCAAAATACTACTAAAATACTAAAAACGTACTAAAAATACTAAGAAAATACTAATAATGTACTGTGAATACTAAGAAAATACTAAAAAATACTACTAAAATGCTAAAAACATACAAAAAATACTACTAAAATGCTAAAAACACAAAAAAACTACGAAAATACTAAAAACATACTAAAAAAATACTACTAAAATACTAAAAACATACAAAAAAATACTACTAAAATACTAAAAACAAGGCTGCAAAAGTGAAAAAGAAAAACATGTACAGTGTGGTTCAGTTAACAGTGACGTTCTTCCAGCAGCATGGTTCTGGTCTGGTCTTGTTAGCAGGTCCGGTCAGCAGCTGCCCTCACAGACTGTCCTCCAAAACCGGGTCCAGCAGACGCAGAACATCCCAGGTTTTCCCCACAGAGCAGAACAGGTCCGTATAGTTGGGTCCATACAGTCAGGTGGAGGATCATGGAGACGGCCGCCATGACAGGCCGGAGCCTGAGGCTGGAGGGGGGCCGGGAACGGAACCACGATGGCAAGGCAGCGACACAGAAAACTCCACAGTGGGTCGTGGTCATCCTCGTAGCGTGGGTGTGCAGTGTAGGCGCAAAAACTGTTAAAACAAGAACAAGAGGAACAAAAAAAGATGGAGTCGAAGCGAAGCTCCCGTCATTGCAGCCATGCTGCGGCGCTCGTGACGTCAGTATGTCGTCGGTATGATCTGTCAGCTGTGCTCCTTGGTCTCCTTGGGCTCCTTGGTCTTCATGATGCCGTTTGTTCCTAACATTCTGTAAGAACCCTCTGAGAGCTTCACAGAACATCTGGATTCAGTTTGATCCTGATGTTCTGGAGACGGGGGACATGTTTGGACCTCCTGCTGACTTGGTTGTCTTTGTGTTCCTGCAGTGGTCCGAGAGCAGCAGCGCCAGGTCTGGACCTCAGGGACCGGCAGAGACGAGCCCCTCCAGATCCAGGTACACACTGCGTTGCATTGTGGGGGTTTGATCCAACGTGTGCAGAATGACCCGTCAGGTGTTTGTGTTTGGACCTGCAGGGTTCTGGTCCACCTCCAGCTCCACTCAGAGGACATCAGTTCTGACGCTGCCTCTGTTCCGGGTCCTGGAACCAGTGGGACCAGCAGTGGGACCAGCAGCACCTGTGGAAGCCCCTAGAACTTCACGTTGCTCTGACGGTGTCCAGGACCAGAACCAGGCGCAGGATCCGGTTTGCTTCAGAGAGGGCTGCTGTATTGGGTCAGACTGACCCATAAATAAGTTCTGAAGTCCACCAGTTCTGTTTCCTGTTTGCTCTGTCGTGCTCACCAGAACCCAGAGAGCTCGTTCTACCGTCGGGCACTGGAGCGGGTCTGCTCATCCAGAACTTTTTGCACCAGTCTGTGTTCTTTGATGTGATTCTTGCTGGAGGAGAGCGATCGGTACCGACCCGGGTTGACGTGAGTCCAGGTGGTGCCGTGCTGATGTTTCCAGATGTGTTGAAGGTTCTTCTTGTTCCAGCAGAACCAGGTTCTGAGTAAGAGCAGTCTGAGCATTTCTGGTTCCGGATGGTTCTGAGGAGGAAGTCTACAGATCACACCTGGCGTTCGGTTCTGCTGACCGGGTCAGGCCTTTACTGGGTCTATACTGTTCAGATTCTAAAAGCCCGGCAGCAGGTTCTGACCGGGCTCAGATCAGTTGATGTTCTGGTCCACAGAATGTCACTGTGGTTCTGGACTTGTTGGGTTCTGGACCCGCTCAGAATATTTGGACCAGTCTGGTTCTGGAGCACCAAAGCTACACTCTGACCCGACCCGGTCCATTAGGGTTCTGTCCTCTCAGCCGTCTTCACTCCAGAAGTGTTGGTTCCGGTCCAACACTTCTGGATGAACTGGGTCGGGTCAGATCTGTGAAGCTGCTCAGACAGGCTCAGAACCTGGTTCAGAACCTGGTTCAGAACCTGGTTCAGAACCTGGTTCAGAACAGAACAAATTAAAAAAGATACATTTTGTGTCAAAATAAAAATAAATTTTCTTCAAACACTCTGCAGAGTCCAGCTCTGGTTCTGACCCGCTCTCAGCTGCAGGTTCTGTTAACCAAACCCAGTTAGTCCAGCAGGAGAAGAACGCTTGTTTTAACAGGATGTTTTTATTCTGGGTGATATTTTACTAACACGCTTCACTCCAGAAATAAACCTGCTTTGTGCTGCAGATGTGTCGTTTGTTTAAAACTGAAGGAAACGCTGAACGTTCTTGTGGTTCTGTTGGTTCTGGAGATCAAACACGGGCCGGGTCCTCTTGGGAGGCTTCTAGAAGACAACTGGTCTTTGTTGTTCGGACCACCGAGCGCACCTGACTAAACCACACCCTTTTCCATTAGAAACAGTACGTAGAACTGGTCCCTTTTTTCAGAACCCTTGGCTCTGTGGTACCAACCGGGCCGAGCCGGCACCAAAACGTGACGTCAGAACACTGTCGGTCACTATTTGGTCAGGGGGCGGAGTCAGTGTTTGAGAAGCTTTTCACAACAACATCATTTGCATCAAGTCAAACTCCGAGGAGCGACCGGACCATTGTAAAGATTTAAAACAATAATGACATCGTGGTCTAAGATTTAAAACAATGACATCGTGGTCTAAGATTTAAAACAATGATATCGTGATCTATGATTTAAGACAATAATGACGTCGTGGTCTAAGATTTAAAACAATGACATCGTGGTCTAAGATTTAAAACAATGACATTGTGGTCTAAGATTTAAAAC